TTATTACAAGGCATAATGCTAGAAAGTAGCACAGATTGAGCTTAGTGTTCTCCATTTTTAGTGAGAGGAATTGAAAATGAAAGGTTAGAGAGAGTTTTATGTTGTGAAAGAAAAGAAAAGAAAAATTGGTATAATAAATAAGCTAAAGATCAATGCACTGTGGATTTTTTAATAATTGATGATAGGGTACTACTCTTCGGGCATATTGCCAGGAAAGGACATGAAATTCACATGCCAATAATTTCCTGTTATAACTTTGCATCAATAATTGTGTGGAGTGAGATTGATCGATTTTTGAAGGCTTAAAACAGAACTTTATTTCAAGGCCACAATATTTTTGAAATTTGAAGAAACCGAGGTTGACGGGTGCTGCCTCATGAGCTTTAATGGGTTCCATCTTAAAATCAATTGGTGGTTGGAGGAGTACCCACTAAGTTATATATTAGGTTCATTTTCCTTATATAATCAATGTGCGATAATTTACAAGTGACATTCCAACACGTCCACTCACTTGTGAGTCCTTCATAAGCCAAGCCCAAAGCAGGCCGATTAGAGAGTAAGCCAAAACCCAGAGCATGCTAGGAAGAGATAGAGACATAGTCTGGAGTCGGGAAGAGATAGAGACCTAGGCTGAAGTTGGTCCGACTCTGATACATGAAGAAATGTGAAAGATTCACGTGAAGTAGATTTGTTACTAGCTATGAATTCCAAAATGGGCATGTGTAAAAAGACCTGTTTGTGACCTGATGTTTTTTTTCTTTTTTTTTGGGTAAATTATATACACGTGAGAATTGATATAGAGACCAGAAAAATAAATCCTGTGGTTGTGAAATATTGATTGGAGCGTGTGGGTCATGACCAAAGTCATCTCATTTGTCAAGGTCCTCAAGGATATTTTTACCTTTTTTTTTTTTACAGTTTACTGTAAAATAAAAAATAAAAATAAAAAAACTCTGATAACTAATTAAGACGTAATTAGGTTGATGCATGGGTAAGTAAAAACAAATTAAGTGAGATGATCAAATTTAGTTCAATAATTTTTGGTTGGTAATTTAATACAATAGCTTTTAATTTTTAATTATTTCTATTCATTCGTGTTTTGGGTTAGCTAATCATTTTTTTTTATCAACTGTTTCAATTTTCAAGTGAAAAAAAAAAAATTATAGCTAATTAATTTAGATGCTAATTAGTAATTAACATGGAATTAAAACATGTTATGTTGCCACCCACATGAATTGTATTTTTTCTAAGTGACTTTCAATTAATTAGTATTTTCCAAGTGATTTTTGAATTAAAACTCTAATTAATTAATATATTTAATTACTCATATTTTTTTGGAGGTTTTATTGAAGTCCTTTTGCACTCAAATCATGACTTTGATTATGTTTGTTTTCTAAAGGGGGGCCATTTAAATTAAACTCTGAAATAATGAATAATATACGAAATGTTACAGTCTCGTTACGGTATCATACTGTCGAATGTTTTAACCGTTAGTTCATCTATCTTATACTAACTACATGTGTATCAACAGTTAAAACATCCGATGGGATGGTACCGTAACGCGACCATGGTATTTTTCGAATAATATAGCCAATCAATTAGACAATTACTACCAAAGTACACTACCCTACTATAGTAACAAATTTTCTCCTTATAAATTAAAGACACGTTTATCACGCACATGCCACGACAATTCTTCAAATATTGATCAATATTATTATTTGGTGTCGGTAGTATTATATTTTATTATTTTGTTCTTAATTATTGCAAATTAGTTCTATATATATAATATATAGGTAGATGATAAATTATCAAATCTTTCTAAAAATAAAAAATAAAAAAACTAAATATCAACACCTGGTAAACACACATATTACATTACACAGTTACACTCGATCGAAAACCAACATTTTCTTTTGCCAGTTTTCATACAAGAATCACACTACAACACACAAAAATAGGACAATAATAATACATAGTAATAAAGAAAAAAGATATTATGCCAAACCTGAAATAGAAAAACTATATAATTTCACTAGGCCAAAATGCTTATTTTTGCGCTAGCTGGTCGATTTCTGGGCCGGGTATTTTCAATTAATTCTTTCAAAGTTGGGCCAAACGGCGAATATCAAACGGATAAGCATCCGAGGACTTCTGAGCACTGTACGATCTTCGGCCGACGACAATATTTGCAGCTTCACTTGGGTGAAAAGCATCCCAAAACAAATATTCATCTCTATTTGGGCATGGAGTTTGAAATGGAAGACATGTTATTTGTCCATTGTTCCTCCCAACTCCACAGCATCCAGCATTTGTAACCCTAAACCCTAAAATACACAAATATATACTCTAAATAAATAAAAACAATATTATAGCAAAAATTAGTGAGACTCCAATCAAGAAATCCAAAAACAGGATCACTATAACTTGGATTAGATGAAAAAAAAATCAGAGATTTAGTCCTGTAAATTGACACCAAATTAATAAATAATCCGATAATTGCTTTGATTTTACAAAACACACTTTAACTGAANAAAAAAAAAAAAAAAACCTGAATTTAGGTCATTCCATTGGGAAAAGCCGGTCATTATGCGACCGGCTTGCGTGAAAAAACCTGAATTTAGATAAATTGACCAACTTTTCTCGATGGAAGGACCTAACTTTTTTTTTTTTTTTTT